ATTTATCCTGCCTAAGTACCCCGCATTATTTTAGGTTAGGAAGATAAATCAGTGACTACCTTGCCTGCACAAAGTAGACATCTGAGTTAGACAGACTGGCAAACACAATGAGTAAGGTGAGCTGGGTGTAGTGGCACAAGCGTGTCATTCCCATATTTGAGACACAGAGGCAGGAGGATCATTGAGAGTTCAAGGCCAGCCTGAGCTACAAAGTGAGGTTTTTTTTCTTTTTTTGTTTGTTTGGTTGGTTGGTTGGTTGGCTTTTTTTTGCAGAACCAGGGATTGAACTCAGGCCCTTGTGCTTGTCAGGCAAGCGCTTATTCTACTGAGCCATCTCCCTGCCCTACAAAGTGAGTTTAAAGCTAGCCTGAGCTACATAGTGAGACCCTGTCTCAAACAGAAAAAAAAAAAGTACAAGTAGGGTTTTTTTCTTTTTTTCTTTGCGGTATGGGGGATTGAACTCAGAACCCTGTATATCAATCACTGTTAATCATATACTGTTTTGAAAATCTGTAATGTATGTATTGTTATATGTTACCTTGTTTCTGTCTTTGCTCTTGTTTTTACTCTTCAAAATAAAATTTATTTATTTTTTTAAAAAATTTTTTATTTTTGTTTATTTATTTATTTATTTATTTATTTTGTGTGTGTGTGGCCAGTTCAGCCCACCAGGGGGCGGGGCTGGCTGGCATGTGGTGCTGGGGGATTGAACCGTGGTCCCTGTGCTTTGCTTGGCTTAGCTTGTTCTAAGTAGGTGCTTTAGGCCACTGAGCCATCTCACCAGCCCCTTCAAAATAAAATAAAAAAAAAAAAAAAGTAAAATGAATGCTATGTGAGACAACAGTGAGAGCAGGGGGGAGCAACAAAGGTGGAGATGGGAAGTATCAGGAGCCAGGATAAGTGTGAAGGGTGGACCCCAGGCTTAGGGCTCAAGTCATCCCCGAGGGCTGGCTGTAACTGATGTCACCAACTGAAGGCTCAGGCTCCTACACAGCCTTCAAAGTCTCTCGCTATCACAGGCGGGCCTCAGGGTCCTTGGGAACATAGGCCCAGGATTTCTCAACGAACGTCACACAGGACAGAATGTTGCGATGTTCCTTCCAGAACTCTTTAAGGGTTCAGTCTCTATCTGTGGCCATCTGGAAATACAAGCGGCCAATTCGGGTTATAACTCAAGACTTTAGCCCTAAGCTAAAACTAAAGTTCTGGTCATAACCCCAGTTGTTTGTATGTCAAGCCGGTTGTAACTCCAGGGTTCACTGAATAAGAAAGGTCTTCCGACCAGTGCCACAGGAAGGGCACTTTTCTGAACCCATTTCTTCATCTATGGAATAAATAACAGCACCTTCCTGAAGGTCGGCCCTTTGTCATTGCTAAACTATGGGATTTGGGGTGCTGAGACTCTCTTCACCCAAACTTTACGCAGGCTATTCTGAACTTCCTTTTCAGCTAGGCTTTGGCGTGTGGGCCTCCGTGGCTGTGCACTGGCTGACTTTATTTTTTGGTACTGGGAATCAAACTCAGGACCTTGCACTTGCCAGACTGGTGCTAGTGCCGCTGAGCTATGTCCCTGGCGCTGCACCGTTCTGATTTTAGCGAGAACTCTTTAGCCAGAATCTTTCATTCATCCTTGCTATTTCCTCTTAGTAATTTTCCACCACTGAATCCCACCCTGATCCTTGTCTATAAATTCCTATTTTTTCCTGCACTTGGAGTTGACATTGAGTGCCCTCTTCTGCTACAAGGCCCCATCATGGTTGTCGCACTGACAGAACAGGAACCTCAACAATCCCCTTACATAGTGTCTGCTTTGAAGTTCTCTAAGAAGTGTCATGAATAATTTTTCACAGACAGCACAAACCTTCTTTGAGTTCTCAGAAAGTCAATGTCCTCATGTGTAAATAAGGACTACTAGCCTGGGGCAGTAACATGTATCTGTTGGAGGGTGAAGCAAGAGGGTAGCTGCTACAGGAGGGTCACTACAAGTCCCAGCTGTGCAGAGAGACCCTGCATCAAATACATTTTTTAAAAAAGGAAAAACAAATGAGATGGTCTGTAAATATATGAAAATATTTTTTAATGCTAGCAAAGTTTGACTAAGTTTTGTTTTGTTTGGGGGGGGGGGCTGGCTCAGGCTGCCTTAAGGGCGGGTCCGGAAGGTACGTGGAGCTGGGACTCCAACTGCAGTATCCTGCGCTTATGACTGCGTTTGCATAAGCGGGCTCTTAAACAACTAAGCTAACAGGCAGGCCCCCAAGTTTGACTAAAAGTCGGAAAAGAAACAGGTTCCAAAGAATGAGTTTGGGCCAAGTAAAAGCAAGAAAAGAAGCACGCCCTACAGTGCAAGGATGGGCTACCATGCAAGAGAGAATACAGTGGCTTGTTGGTTGGTTGGAGGCAGGGTCTCACTGCATAGCCCAGGTTGGCCTCGAACTTGCAGCAGTCCTCCTGCAGCCTCCCAAGTGCACCACCATGTCTAGTAAGATTTTTTTTTTTTTCTGTACAAAACAGAGTGGCTTTTGTTGTGCTAGATGTGAGGAGTGCTATCACAGACAGTCGAGGTGAAGAGGCGAAGGTGGCCTGTTCCTAGTGAGTCCTGCTCCTGGGAACTCTGGGGCGGGTTCAGGGGCTGAGCCAGCCACAGTGCATGATGGAGTTGATCCATTCTACGAACCCCACCACGGGGGCAAAGGCGTCTGGAAAGCATGCAGAGCCACAGTCGCCGTGGATGAAGGGACAGATGCCTTGGACCAGCCCATTGCAGACCAGGCGCTCCGCTCCGGGCTACAGTCACACTGAGCTCACGTAGGAGGCCTGGGGTCAGGCAGTTCACGCCCCGGCCCCGGCGGCCCCAGCCTATGGCCAGGCACTGTACTCCATTGCCCACACCACAGCCCAAGGCAGGCAGCTGGGCCACCCACTGAGCTGGAGAATCACGTCACTGAGCAACAGTGTGGGGTCCAAGCTGTTCGCAAAGATACACTCCACCACAAAGATCTACCAGGTGCACGCCCTGATGTTTCAATTTTTTTTTTTTTTTTTTCTTTTTGAAATAGAATCTTGCCATGCAGTTCGGTTGGCCTCAAACTTGTGTCAATCCTTTTGCCTCAGCTTCCCCAGTGCTGGGATTGCAGATGTGAGCCACCACAGTAAAACATTTTAAAATGTATCACCTACTATGAAAACATGTACACAGGTATTTTGTGGGCTGCAAATCTCCTGCAAATGGTCAGCAGAGCCTTAAGACTTCAAACAATGAATAAGATAACTGTTCGTACTGACGCCCACATTGGCAGGGAAAAGGCCAACACAAATTATCAGGATGCATACAGCAGAGGAGCAAGCTTATCTTAGACCGGGAGTAAAACAAACTAAATGTTCTGAAGTGGACACCTCATAAAATAGTTATTACATGGCATTTATCAAATTTTAAAGTGTTTAATAGCTTCTTTACATTTGTTCTTCTTTTGTTTATGGGTCTTTAGTTCCAGGAAAAGAACTAGGTGGACTTAAAAGTTATTTAAAAAAAATTAAATCACTAAATTCATCTTCTGGAGTACTTGCATGCTCAGTAAGCATTAATTAAGTGGATAATGACTAAATAAACTACTATACGCTCTTTGGGTTTCATTTTTGTCAGGCTGGACTTGAACTCAAATGTGCAGCCCAGGCTGGCCACAATCTCAGGGACTCTCCTGCCTCAGCGTCCCAAGGCTCCGCCTGTTTTGTGTGTTTAAGAGGTGGACCCCTGCTGTGTTTCTTAGGCTAACCAGCAACTGCCACACTCAAGCATTTTTTTTTGCTGTGTCCTCCAAAGAGCTGGGACCAAAGGCACTTGCTGCTGCTCCAGTGTTGTTCTTGCTTATCTCTGTTCCTTCAGCTTCTAATTGCATTGGTTTGTTAGACCAATAAACATGTTCTCGTACTAGAGTGGTATAGTGTCTGGCACGCAGTAGGTACTCATGAAGTGGCTGTGTAATGAATGCACGCATGTTTACCAGGTGAGTCTACTTGATCCAGACTAGTCTACTTGACCTTAACTCTTGCATTTGAAGCAAATTCTTTTTTATCTTTTAAGATTCATTGATTGATTTGGTACAGGGTCTCACTACACAGCTCAGACTCCTAGAGGATCCTCCTGTCTCAGCCTCCCCAGCTGATGGAATGACTGACACTCGTTTCAGTGGCCCACACAGCGAGAGGCGGCACAGGGGAGAGAACCCACGTCCTTGCGCTGGCCAGGCAGGCGCTTACACCGCTGAGCTATCTCCCCGGCCCTGAAACGAATTCTTACCTCCCTGTGCAACATTAATCTGCTAAATCGTATTTTATGCCCATCTCTCAAACTGTACCAAAATATTATTTCATGTAAGTAAAGCATTAAGCTTTACTTTGAAGATAGTACTGTACACTCAATGTTTGCCAAATAAGTAAGCTGCACTTTGCGGAAGCTAAGCTCTCCTTGCAGCCCACTCAAGGGCACTAACTGGACATCCACCTGATCACACTCATCTCGGGGCAGCTACATCTTTTCTGAGATACTGGCTCACACTCACTCACAGCCGTATCAAAATCTTTCCTCGACACTCTTCTCCCAAGTGCCTCAGCCTTTCCGCGGTCACCAGAGCAGCAGGAGGCTGGCTGCGGGCTGTCGCCCGCGCGGCCGGGGGGCGGGCACAAGGAAGGGCTTTGTGGCCGTTCCCCATTGGGGCTCCGTTGCTATGGTGTCACCGCCCTGAACAACTCTCCGGTGCAGCTTCCGGGGCTAAAAGAGAATTACTTCCAGGGCTGCCCGTACCTGACATGGCCGGCTCGGTAGTCGCTAACCTCAACAGCCGTAAGACTTCTGTGCTAAAGCGCTAAGGTATGTTTTTTAACCACTCAAACTGGCGATTAGCATACGATACCATGACTTCCCCCCCTTTTAAAGTGTTGTAGCGCACACTGCGCCGCTGCCAGTCTCCAAAACGGCGCCGGCAGCGTCGCGAGGTCAGAGGTCAGTCACGTGACGCCCCCGGTTCCGGCGCGGCGGAGGCCCGGAGCGGTGAGTCTCCGGCACCATGACTGCTTCTTCTGGCCGACACGCGCGGCCTGGCCCTGGCCCGCTGGCGCTGCTCGTTCTGTTGCTGCTCGGTCCCAGCTGGGTCCTCGGCATCTCCTTCCACCTGCCCATTAATTCTCGCAAATGTCTCCGCGAGGAGATCCACAAGGACCTGCTCGTGACGGGCGCGTACGAGATCACCGACCAGTCTGGGGGCGCTGGCGGCCTGCGGACCCACCTCAAGGTGCGGGCTGGGCGGCGCGGGCCGGGGAGAGCGGGGGGCTGGGGCCGGGGCGCGGCGGGGCTGGGCGCGGGGACCTCGGCGCGATATCCAAGATGCAGACGAGCTGTGGACCTCGCCTGGCCCCTGCCCCGCCCGCGCCGCCGCGCCGCCGCGTTGGGCTGTGTCTTAGCGTTTTGCACAGTTTGGGTGCCGAGGGGGTGTGGGGTTGACCGCGTACAGCACCGAGACACGTGCGGGAGAGCAGCGAAAGCGGGAGAGGCCCCTGCGCTCGCTCAGTGGGACGTGTTCGTGGGGCCGACGTCACTTCCGGCCCGCCGCTTGCACACGCGAACGTTTGGTTCTTCACTGCCCAGGAAATAGCTAGTACTGTCAGCTCCATTTTACAAGTGAGCGAACAGGCTGGGAAGGACACACGGGCTTAATGGACGAAATCGATTACTAATTTGGTAGTTACGCATGTTGAGGAAAATCAGGCTGCAGTAATATTCTCCTTCACTTTAATTTGGAATTCTTGGACTCGATTAAAGCCCATTATTGGCCACAAAATAGTCTTAACCTCTAGTTCTTCCTTTTGGTATGACACAGTCAGAACTTGCTTAAATCTCTGCCGTACTTTCGGTTATAGAGAATAACCATAATGCCATATGGTCCCATTTTGCAGTGACCTTAGCCTAACCTGGTTTTGAATGTTAATTTGACATCAAGTCTTGGTTGTGTTTTAGGTAATTTTATTCTTTTTTTTTTTTATAATTTTATTGAGAAACAAATAGCAATGAGACAGTTTCAAATCAAATTGGTAGGACAGTTTCAATAATTAACACAATGCATATTGTCTTCCTAGTGCTTGTACAAGATGCAGACATGATATCCTATTTACAAACACTATTAGAACAAATTCCTCTATTCATTGACTTAAGAGATTGTAGCTCTAATCTATCCTAACCATTTTGAATACACAGATACAAAATGTTCATTCATCTGTATCCCCCTTTTTTTTTTGTTTAGTTCTGTCATTTAAATATTATAGGGGGCTGGTGAGATGGCTCAGTGGTCGAAAGCACCTACTTAGAACAAGCTTAGCAAAAGCACAGGGACCCCGGTTCAATCCCCCAGCACCACATGCCAGCCAGCCCCGCCCCCTGGTGGGCTGAGCTGGCCACACACACACACACAAATAAATAAATAAAATTTTTAAAAAAACATCTTAGGCATAACATGGAACAGGTATTTTTCATCAAGTATTTTTTTTTTAAATATTTATTTATTGTGTGTGTGTGTGTGTGTGTGTGTGGCCAGCTCAGCCCACCAGGGGTCGGGGCTGGCTGGCATGTGGTGCTGGGGGATCGAACTGCAGTCCCTGTGCTTTGCCAAGCTTGTTCCAAGTAGGTGCTTCAGACCACTGAGCCATCTCGCCAGCCCATTTCATCAAGTATTGATATGTTAAACTTTAAGTCCCTACAGAATATGACAAAAGAAACTTAAAAAATTAACATATATTTTAAAAATAGGAATAATTATATATGTTTACACATAAGTCCAGAAATCTAACCATGTACACCATTGTTGCGGGACAGTCCCCACAACACTCCTTTTCCTGTCTCCTGCCTTCATTCACCACTCCCTTCCTTTTTAAACAATCATCTACCCAAGAGACAGCACGGCAGCAACGGGCATGTCATGACAAGCCGCACATATTCAGAAGACCAGAATGACAGGCACTCCAAACATGAACCTACTATTACAAATTGCCATCTTCAGTGCAGTTGCTTAGTTCACAAGTGTCAGTATATATAGTTAGGCAGGGTGAGAATCCTTCCAATTAACTGCTAGATTCGAAAATCTTCTGAAGATTCTCAGGATCATTGCCTTACCCATCTTGTACATATAACTGTATGGCTTGCCTCTGTCATGTTTCCTAGCTCTTCTCCTTGCTCTCTCTTCATTGTCTAGTCCTCAGGTTCTTGTTTTCCTTTTAATTGTATTATGCCTTTCTATTTGTATTTCTTTTGAGTTCTTATACTAGGTAAAGTATACGATATGTACACATATGTGTCTGGTTTATTTCACTTATGAGTATATCTTCAAGTGGCATCCACTTACTTTGAGCTTATCATTCTTTATGGCTGAGTAATACTCCATTGTATAAAAATACTGCATCTTTTTCATCCATTCCTCAGGTGATGGGCATCTTGGTTGTTTCCAAGATTTGGCTATCACAAATTGTGCTACTATGAACATAGGCACACATATATACCTATGATATGTTTTCAGATCCTCTGGGAAAATTCCCAGTAGGGGAATAGCTGGTTTAAATGCCATTTCCAGTCCTAGTTTTCTAAGGAGTCTCCGCACTGATTTCCATAACGGTTGCACCAGTCTACATTTCCACCAACAGTGGAGAAGGGTTCCTTTTTCCCCACAGCCTCTCCAACATTTGATTTCTTTATGATAGCCATTCTTCCTGGGGTGAGATGATATCTCAGTGTTATTTTAATTTGCATTTCATGGATATCTAGTGATGTGGAGTATTTTTTCATATATTTATTCGCTTCTTTAATTTCATCCTCTGAGAAATGTGTGTTCATCTCAGATGTTCATTTCTGGATTAGGTCTTTAAATTTTGGGGCCCTAGTATTTTTTAGTTCTTTATAAATTCTAGAGAGCTGACCTTTGTCTGAGTACTTATTTGTCAAGATTTTTTCCATATTTGTGGGTTGTCTTTTCACTTTGTTGGTAATTTTTTTTGACGTGCAAAAACTTCTCAATAAGAGGAGGTCCCAGTTGTTAATTCTTTCAAGTGTTTCCCGTGTGAATTGATTTTTGTTCATGAACTCTTTGCCTACCCCTATGTCTTCAGGAGTTCCTCCTACTTTCTCTTTCAGGAGATTTAGTGTTTCTGTTTTAATGCTTAGATCTTTAATCCATTTTGACTTTTAGCTTAGTGCACGGTGATAGACCTGGGTCAAGTTTTAGTTTTCGGCATGTAGAGAGCCAGTTTTTCCAGCACTATTTGTTAAAGAGGCTATCTTTCTTCCAGTGAGTATGTTTGGCCCCTTTATCAAAGATAAGGTGGCTGAGTGTGTTCGTAGAGGCTTCAGCATCTTCTAATTTATCCCATTGATCCTCAGGTCTATTTCGTTGCCAGTACCATGCTGATTTTATCACAGTAGCCTCGTAGTATAATTTCAAGTCAGGAATTGTAATGCCTCCTGCTTTGTCCTTATTGCCCAGGATTGCGTTTGCTATTCTAGGTCTTTTCTGGTTCCAAATAAATTTTAGGAATGATTTCTGTGGGACTGTGAGGTAGGTAATTTTATTTTTTCACAATGAGCGTGATCATCTTTTTCAGTAATAATTTTGCATATATGTTTTTTTTTTGAGGGGTTTTTTCCTGGCTCAGGCTGCCTTAAGGGCACATCTGGTAAGGCATGTCCCCCATGGTCCCCTGAGTGGTTTTGCCAGAGTAGGCGCTTAAACAACTGAACTAACCCGCAAGCCCCCCCATTTTTACTTTTTAAATAGAACTTAAGATACAGTAAAATTATAGCTTAAAAAATAAGACCATAACTTATGTTTAAGGTATTAGAATTTAGTAGTAATGATAGAATAAATGTCTGATTTACTATTTTTTAAGAAACTACCTTCAAGCACTATAGTTTTTGTGACCTATGCATTCTCTTCTTTTTTTTTTTTTTTTTCCGGATACTAAGGATTGAACTGGAGACCTTGAGCTTGCCAGGCAGGTGCTTATGCCACTGAGCTATCTCCCTGATCCATTTATTTCTCCCCCCATCCCTCCCAGCCGCATCTTGCTGTGTAGTTCAGGCTAACTTTGAACTCAGGATGTAACCCATCCTAGCCTTGAACTTGTAGTGATCATCCCTGCCTTAGCCTTCCCAGCACTGGGATTATAGCATGTGCCACCATGCCTGGCCAACCCACACTTCTATCATTTTCTTTGAGTAGGGCAGTTCTGTCTACCCATGCAAGTCTTGGTGGTGAAATTTTAGGGACATAGATGTTTTGAGGGTCATGCTTCTGTCTTGGTGTTTTGGTTTTTACTTTTGTTTGTTTTAACACAGGGTTTCTTTTTTGATTTTTGGTGGTACCAGGGATTGAACTCAGGACCTTGCACTTGCCAGGCAAGCACTTACTCCACTGAGCTATTTCCCCGGCCCCTGTGACACAAGGTTTCTACTATGCAGTTTAGGCTGGTCTTGAACTCACTGTGTAGCGCACCCTGGCCTTGAATTTGCAGCAGTCCTCCTGCCTCAGCCTCTCAGATTCTGGTATTATAAGCATGGGCCACCATGCCTGGCTGAGGGTGGTTTTCTGTTTCTTCATACACTGTAATTTATTGGATCAAAGGATTTGACTAATGAAAGGGTCTCTCATCTTCTGTGTTTCTCTGTCTGTCTCTGTCTCTGTCTCTGTCTGTTTCTCCCTCCCTCCCTCCCTCCCTCCTTCCTCTTCTGCTTTTGAGATAGGGTCTCCCTTTGCAGTTCAGGCTGGTCTTACTTTGCAGCCCAGGCTGGCCTTGACCTCAGTTGATCCTCCTGCCTCAGCTTCCCGAGTGCTGGGGCTACAGGTGTGCACCACCATGCCTGGTTTCATTCTTGTAATTTCTTAGGTTTATGCCTCTCCTCCGTATTAGACTTACATTAGTACCCCAAGGGCAGGAAAGATTTTCATGCTCATAATTTCTAGAGTGCTAAGTATATCACCTTGCTTTTAGTAAACACTAGGTAAAAACAAGCTGTGGTACAACCTGCCAGGAATCAAACTGGGTGAAGGCGGAGACCTGGCCTAGCAGGAGTATACATCTACAATGGTGTTTTACCTTCCCTCAGCCGCTCTGCATCCAGTGTGACCGCTGAATTGGGCTACTATAGTCCTAAACACAGATACTAAGAGGTAATATAAAGAGGTGAATTGGGCTAGATATTTTTTGTGTGTTCGTTTTTGAAGCAGGATTTCAATATGTAGTTCAGGCTGCCCTT